AAAGTAAAATGATGGACACATACTTAGGTGGGTGCAGGAACAGTGAACATGATAACGAAGGAATTTGTGGTATCTGTCCTGGAGACCAGCACATTTGGTTGTGCCCCAGAGGGTCCAGAAAAGGGGAAGTTACAACTTACCCAGACACTTTAAGGGAATGTTATCATAGATGCAAAAAGACAGATAGGCTCAGTTAAGGTAAAGGTTGACCTTGTCAGTGAAGATATCGGCCTAGTACGTAACTGCCCACCGTAACTGCTTTAGTTAAAGTTTAATTTCAGACCATCCTTTGTGGTGACTTTAGGTCTCTGAGTTTGCAAGACCACCATGCAGGCCTCCCCTGAGCTTGTCAGGTCAGCATGTGGCCCCTTGTGTCCACATAGGACAGGTAACAAAAATTTTGCTCAATGTAAACTTTTTTTGTGCCTAATGTAGATCTTTCCCTTCTTGGGGGAGGTGGAGAAGAGAGAGAGTGGGGCTGGAACTTTCTGAGCATTGCTGGGGAAGGGGTGGCGGTTTCCTGCAGGTACGGCCTGGTGGCAGCCTCAGCTGGCGTTGCCAGGGCAGCCAAGGCCTTCTGCAAGCTTCATTGCTACTGGAGACACGGCGGACAGTCCCGACAGGCCCGACATAGGGTGGCAGCCTGCACACTGCTCAGCTGGGGCTGCGGTCCCCAGAAGTTAGAGTTTCTTGGGGGTCCAGACCTGTCCATGGTTGTGAAATGGAATTTTTGGACTGGAACCCGGATTCTTTGTCCGTCAGAGTCGAAGAATGAATCCGCGGACAGAGGGTAGTCTAGCCAAGGTGGAGATTTATTGAAGAACAAGTACAGACTCCCACGTGGGGAGAGGGAAAGAGTCCCACAGAACGGAATCCCACGTGGGGAGGGGGAAAGGGTCCCACTGAGTTCCTTTTCCCTGTGGCTTATAAAGGCTGCAGAGCCTGGTGCCTTGATATCCCCTCTGATTGGTCACTAGACTGGTTACTATAGTAACTCCTGGGCTCAAAGGTTGAATCTCACATGGGACATGTGAAGTTCTGCCCCCTCCTTCCTTATTGTTTTCCTGTTTCCTTTGGTCTTTCTTCTTCTCCTTCTGGATGAAGGGCTTCCTTCTCTTTATTTTGTAAATATAGACCTTTTGCTGTTCCCAGCTCCCTCATTCTATGGAAATATACCTTCTGCTGCTCTGCAGCCCTGTGCTTCCTTCATGGTCCCCTTAATTTCTAATATTTCCTAAAACCTGCCTTTTTCACCCCTAAAAATTCCTGTTTCAGTTGTTAACCTGTTTTCCTTTAGACAACAATCCAGGAGCGACGGCACATCCTGGGTCCTGGTAACCTGGTAACCGAGCACTGGAGCCACCCGAGTCCCAGGCACTTTGCAGTGACAATGGCAGGAGGCCCCCAGCCGCCTGCCTTGTTCTGAGCCCACGATGACGGGTGAACTCAAGAAGTAAGGGACTCAAGAAGTCGCGGCCCTGTGAGAACTGTGGGGAATTTCAACCGCACTGCGACAGACACGGGCCGAATTCAAAGGAACGTGTCCCGAATGCAGCCCCGTGGAAAGGTTCACCTACTCATCCACTCAGCAGGCCGGTGGCTACTGTAGAGACACCATCGGGAATAGTGCAGTAGGACCTCTGAGAACCCAGGGAGAAGGCTGCCAAAACTGTCCTCCGAAATCAACTTTGCCACAACTCTGCGCACTGAAGGATTGCTGCGATCCGAGTCTTCCTCTCAGCCCCAGCTCGGTGGCGTTCCACTTGCCCTCTCCCCAGACCCCCCCCCCCCCCCCCCCCCCCCCCGCCCCTCC